TGTCTCAGCAATTCTTGCATGGCGTAAATACCCCATGGTATTAATTATTTTTCTCTTGACGTTGGAAGTTACTATCGCTTGCCCGTCTTACGGAGCTGAGCCGTTCTTGAGAAGCTGCAATTGTGTACCTACTGAAGAACTGCCCAGGATTTTATGGTTCCTGGAATTTCATTACTGTGTTCATAAGATCCCTCCTCTGCCAGATCGGTCCCATCCAATCTAACCCATTCCATTTTATCGCTGTAAGACAATTTTAATATTGTGCACCCACCTATTCATTTGTCTTTTTATTATTTTACTCCATTTTAGAACGAAGAATGCCCCGGCACATTTTATGGGTGTTTTGTTTTGTATTTTCTACCAAGTAATAACCGTAGCAAGTACACCTGCTTGACGAGCAGGCCAGTGTAGCGCTAATGCTTGAAATTATTTGTTAATGTGTTTGGTTCGATCCTCGGCCGGAACTCCTCCTCGTGTAATGGGTTTCATTTTTTTACTCAGTTTCTCCAGGTAAAGAACGGAATAGTACTTACGTTACAACCAACCGCGGCGTTCCATAACCTCCCCATTTCATTAATCACTAATCGTTGCCATGCAACCAGAGATGCTGACTGCATCGTAAAATAATCCACAATAATCTTCTCGCTTCCTTCTCATTTTGTAGGCCGTATTACACTGATAACATTGAGTTGCGGTTTCAGTTTAACCGATGAGAACGTGAAATGTGGAGTATTAAAGGCAGCATTAGTGGACCACGAGCAACGCAGGACGCTTGTGCAACTTAGAGAATCAGCTGATGACGACAGCAGGCAGCAGAGTGCAACCACAGCAGTATTCGGTAACGCCCAGCTGAGCGACACCGATATGGGACGAGAGAATAAGCTGGCTACAACAGCATGAGGCAAAGTGCAAACGAAGCGGTTCTACAACACTGGCACAGCTGATCGACCCAAGTAGGGAAGGGATCACGCTGTAAGCAAACGAGAGAGGCTGCCAACGTCAGGGACGTCACAAAAGCAGGCTTACAAGACAACGTCACGAAGGGTGACGTGACATCCCTCCTGACGCACTGGGGGAGGGGGTTAAAGGTCTAGGGGATCGCGGAAAAGTCGCCTCAAGGTAGGGTCTTGACGGGAAACCGGTGCGCAGAGAAGCGTAGCCAGGGAAACAGCTGAACAGGGTTCAGCGTGCTTCCAAGTAGGAGTAAGCGAGACTCGTAGACTCACTACGAGAGACAGATTTTAGGTGCAGTGGAACCGCAGAATATGCACAAGCCACTGGCTGAGAGGAAGAACTCGGACCCGAAGAAGGAAGAAAAACAGACTCTAAAGGCTCTAACGACTTTATGTACTTTTTGACAATTTACTGACGGATAACCTGCTTGGCGTGGGTCTGAAAAACGCCAACTTTTGAATTACGATGTGCAGGACCTGTTAGTGATCGTATTCTCAAAGCGTTCTCAAAGTTGTGTTGCGCCCGGCCTAAAGGATAAGGACTAACCAAACTGCTGACTTGTATCACAAAGCACGGGTCACATTGTAGTAGTTGTTTGCATTGTTTTAGCAGACATCTTTTGTATTTTGACCTTATTATAAGTTTTGATTATACTATAAACGCATACACACATACCTAATTTCTTCACCTCATGGGAAAAAAAAGTTCTAAAGGCAATTCTGCATACTTTATCCCGCCTTGCACAGTTTGGACAGCGTTTACCGTATATGCCAGACTCTTGATCAAGTAACTGCACAAGGACAAATTAGCAGCTTCATCAACTATTCGTGCCGTCCTAACAACAACTGAATCACTGTAGCGCGTTTTAGAACAGCTGATTTCTAGGAATCACCGGGCATCTCCTTCGTACTCAATCGTGTGAAGACTGGCGTGCTCCGTTGCGGTTTCCTCAATTTGCGCTGCCCCATTTACTAACATGTGTTCAACTCGGGCTGATAACACTTCTCGGAAATCGCGGTTACGTTGCGGTTGCCGGTTTTCTGGTATGCGTCCGGCCTAAAAGTCAACCGTTGTCTGTCTTCGAACAAAGACATCCCGTTACAATCTTACTGTCGCTAGGCATAACATCATATAGTAACAGGCGTTTTTCATTGGTATGCGTTGGGAAGTACCTCTGTGAAGGCCCTGGCTATGTTCTTGGGGCTTGCGTCACGCAAGCTCACAGCTAAGAATTGAACACACATCACAAGACACAGTTTACACAGAATATAAGAAAAACGACCCCCATAGTGGAAGAACCACACACGAGTTTTAATTATGACACATAAGATGAATAATCTTAACAAGTTTTAGTGCTTGTAAATTCATTATAGTTGACAAATACGCACTTTTTGAATACTTTTAAATAATTTTATAAAGGCAAGCAATGAAATAGATTAGCGTTAATTAGGGCACCTGATGATGGCACTATGTTGCCGAAACATGTCGTGAAGTAACGGGTGAAAATGAGTGCACTACAAGACGGCAACTGTATACATATCAGGGGATATTATGCCGTGTAGTCTGTTAGATGTGTATCAATATGGAGGAATCTGATGCCTCAACAAACGTCTCGGAGGAAACTACTGTCTCCGTCTTTAGGGTTAAAATAAATATGTGACTACCAAATTACTCGACGCGAATCCCAGAAGACAGCGATCTTGTAAAAAAGTGAAGTTGTCTGTGTCGCTACATTGGCTGCGCTACTGCGGCTCCCTCAGTAGTCTTTGTAGGCATCATCGTTAGTTGTTCTTGTCCGCCTCAAAGTACAGGCCTAGAAGTGAAGTGATATTGAACACAGTTCCATAGAAAATGGGGCAAGAACCTCTGCAGACTCTGCAGTACAACAGATCTGGTTTGCAAAATTATTTGTTATTCTTGCGAACAACGCCTTCTGGGAGGGAGCGAGGAGCACCCCAAAGCAGGTGCTATGTTAGCATTCCTTCTTATCGATTATGCTCTCGGCACTGGCGGCAATTTTGTATTTAGTTAGGGTCAGGATCGTCAGGATGCTAGAGATGGCAGCAGTAATTCAGTCGTGTCGTCACTGTGCCATGTTCCCAATCAGCGCCCACCAGTAACAGAGAGAAATTAGAAGCCATTATGCATATTAGGTGTTATTAGGAATTTAATGGCTGTTGTCGGTGATCTGAAAGTGGTGAGTATTCTGTAGGGAATCATTATACTCATTCGAAAGAAATCCAATTACTCCATATTCAGACAATTTGTTAAGAACAAACTCTGTTGGTGTTCGTGATATTATTCTGCTGTTTGAAGTTCTATTTGGGATCTTCTAAACTTCTCAGTGCGCTTTCTGAGGGTCGTGTTTTTACTAGATTGCACAGCTTTGCTGTTTATGTACCCGATTGTCACCTGTCACACATAAAAGTCCGACTTATAAAGCAAGTCATGAGAGCTGATGATCTATCGTGAACTGGTTGAAGTTGCAGGGTATACAAATGCATAGTATATTTTGCGGCTCTGAGATATTTGTAGATTACGCTTACTGTTTGTGGGATATAACTCCGTGCAGTCTGGTAGCATGTTACCTAAGTTTTCGAAGCAAGAGATTCACTCAAAACAGGTGAACTAACTGCCTTCGAAACCGAGCAACAGTCTCTCCGATTGCACAACGCGTAATAAGACACCAAGCGTCATAGTCTGCCCTAAGAACAAAGAAACGAACATCAAAGTAGGTTTATACACAAACATTAGTATTTTTCCTTAGACCTGGGCAAACATTCGCAGACAGATACTAGTACACTTGCTACAAGTATGATGCTATGTCACTACGATTCTTGTAAATCCACTTACAACTCACAAAACATTGTGTTTGAAAATAAATAACGTTTAAAGATTATGATGAAGGATTCTGTATTCTCTTGCAACAGGATGAGAGACTTGAAGTATTTCCTGCTGTGAGACAAATCATGGTGAGTGTTTTGCATATGTGCACACAAAAATTGTATTCTCAGCAGTCAGCTCTAGTAGTGTAAAAATCAAAACATTTTGTACCAAGCTTCTGTTGTCATAATCCATCTGGGTAATTTACATGGCTTTTGATAATATAACAGTTTAGTATATTATGTAGGACAGGGATCAGTTCAACCAGACTGATGTGGTTAGGTCATATAGCACACATGAGAATGAGAAATTCGTGCAAAGTTTTGGAGAGATTGCATGAAAAAATGAGACCATTTGAGAGCTATTTCTGCAGATGGGTTTTAAAAATATAATTTGGGGGGGGGATTCCCACTGGGTTTGTTTATGTCAAGATGCAAAGTCATGATGAGCATGATTGAACACAGTAATGAGCCCTTAGGTACCATAAGGAGCAGTTATGTTCTGTACTTCCACAGGGACCATTAGTTTCTCAGGAAGGTCCCTGCATTATGAAGTTAATACCCTCTAAGTTTATGAAGTCTGTAGATAAGAAACCTGTACAGAGCAGCTGTTATGGGTTAGATGTAATGAGAAACAGCTACAGCAGGGAGAGCATACATTGTTTCATGTAAGGTGCTGTGCAACCATGACTGATAAAGGTATGATTTTACAGAACTATACACATTCAGAGGATGGTGTACTGGGTCCGTATGTTCAGATGTACCCAGCAAGTCATGGATCAAACCAGGCCTTAAATATAAAAGTTGAGGAAGTGGATCCTGTTCCAATAACAGTTCAGGAATCAAAGGTTAAATGTGAGGTGAGCTGAATGTCTCTGTCTGTCTGCTGTTAGGCAGATATCACAAATATGCAGAAATGTCAGTTGTCTTTCTCATCTCAATCTGGCTGTCTGTCTGTGCACATGAAATAACTCCACTGTGCTTAGAAGACTTCTTTCTGAAGTGTCTCTATACAGTTACATGAAATAACTCCACTGTGCTTAGAAGACTTTTTTCTTAAGTGTCTCTATACAGTTACAGTTCGTTGATTGTTACCACTGCCATGTGGAAACTTCATATGGAGTTATGGCACTGTTCACAGTTTACTGGTACACTTATTAGAACCAAGAATTGTAATTGTAAGCTAAGTCCAGTGAACCCTACAAAATATCACCTGAAGAAGAAGTTTCAAGGTTAAAATAGATTCTTCATTCTCTTGCAACAAGTGTGCCAAGAATTGCACTGCACAGAGCTGAAGAAACATTTCCTGCTGAGAGAAAAGTCATTGTGTTTTGTTCTTGTGTACACAGACAAGAATTTTATTGTCATAGTTATTTCCCTTGGGCAAAGAGCGCTGATATGTTTCAGCAGACTTTACTCTGTTTTCATAATCCATCTGGGTTGTTTTTTATACTTGGTGTACACATTATAGCATTTTGCTATTGTAACGGATTTGAGCCACTCGTTGCCAGCAATGCAGTGGTAAACATACATCCACAACAATGGAAGATGGTGTTTTCCATGGGGTCTGTGCAAGGGAGTTATCATAAAAGCAAACGGCTGTACGATTCAGGTCTGAGTTCTTGGTAGAAGGTAGCCATGGAATGTTCATCGACATGTGAAGACAAAATGTGATTATAAGGCTTCATTCATGTGAGTTTGTAATTCATTGAGAGTTAGTTATAGTTAATGTGTTTTAGTTGAACTACCAGGAGAGGATCAGTGTGTGTGTGTGTGTGTAAACCAGTGATAGCACAGTATTTGAATGTTATAAAGAGAACTTATAACCAAGGTGCTTATAAATCATCTGAGCTAGAACCCATCATTTTCCTGCCGTGTACCACCCTACATGTGACATTGTACTGCCAGAAGTTGGCAGCTCGGATCATATTGGATTCTTCAGCAGTGGTCACGACTGTAATTACATGATGGCTGGTGTTATATGTTTTTGGATTTGATTGGTCGAAGTGATTGTTGGATTGAAGACTGAATCACATATTTGCAGCGCTGTTGTGTGAAATGGAGGTGCAAGAGATGGAAATCCTGCTTGCCAGATTGGATGCCAGCAACAAGGAGATGATGGCCAGGATAGAAGCAGAACTGGAAGCTATCCGAGCCGAAACGAAAGCTATGCAAAACAAGAGGATGGAAGCCAATAGGAATGCTTAGCAGAAAAAGAGGACTGCCTGCCAAGAAATGACGGAGGTATGTCTGGAATGCCAGGAGCCAACTCAGCAGACATGAAGGCCTGCCAAGAGATGACCACCTGCTATGAAGTGATGGGGGCAGATACAGACAAGATTGAGCCTGATCGAGGGAAGATACAGTCTGTATGGGAGGAACAAGAGGTACCCAAGGGAGAAGGTGCAGTGATGCCATTCTGAGGACTGAGGAAGCAGTGTATGGACCTGAATCTGGCCACAGAACCTGCCAGAAGCCAAAGGACGGACATGGGGATATTGTAGATCCCAGAAGAGAGTGACTGCTGCCGGTAGGAGAATGATCCACTGTGCAGGAGTGGCATGGCTTAGGAGAGGCATCATCAGAAAGGACTGTACCAGGGCCAAGGTTGAGTGAGCAATCTGGACAGTAGGGTAGCTCAGGAAGAGTTTACAGACGCATCGTGAAGAAAAAGATGGACTTAAGGGTCTAGTTGGCAAGCAGCTGCTATGCCTGAGAATGAAGATGGCATCTGCAACAGCATCTGAAAATGAAGCTCAAGATGGCTATCACCTCAGAGAAGAGGTGGCTCTAGAGCTAGACTTCATGAAGCAAGCAAACAGGATGTCCATTGGGTTTGAGAAATTATGGAAATGGTCCTTGTGGAGAGGTTGGACCTATCCAAAAGTAAAAATTAGAAATTATACATGGAGTAGGAGCTAGAAATGTGGGAGCACCAAGCACTCAGGATAGTTTTGCCCCGCTGAAAGAAAAGTGTAATATTGTGAGAACCTGAACTGGCTGGAACCCTATCATGGAGCCGGTTGGAACAAGCGCCCTTAAGGAGGGAGCTGATGTAGCAGTTGGAGAGTTATCACCATACAGGAACCAAGCCACAAGGAAGTGACATCATGAGCAGAAATTCATTAGACTATTCCAGAAGAACAGCCTTAAGGAGGGAGCCATGTAACATGGATGGCCAGAGCGTTGGTAAGCAATGGCTCGGTAAGCAAACGTCAACAACAGGAAGATTGTATTCTGTGCAGTCTGTGGCGAGCAAAAGCACAGAGATATAGGAAGTCTACTGACAGGCAGCACAAGGGTAAACATGCATCTACAACAGTGGTGACAGTGTTTGCCATGAATTCCATGCAAAGAAGTTATCTTAAAAAAAATGGCGCTACAGTTCAGTTCTGAGTTCTCAGTAGAAGATTACCATGGAAAGTTTGTCCACCTGTGAAGGCTTAAAGTTGATTAGAAGCCTTCACTTGTGTAATACATGCAGTGTGTGATTCAGTGAGACTCTTATAGTTCTTGCATTTTAGTTTTGGTAAAGGAGAGGACAGTGTGTGTGTGTGTGTGTGTGAATCAGTGATAGTGTTGTGTTGACTGTAATTAAGGGAGGTTGTAACCAAAATGCTAAACAATCCCATCGTCTGAACAGGAACCCATCATTTTCATCGTGCGTACCACCCCATACATGACAGTATATTATGTACGAGAGGGATCAGTTCAAGGAGAGTGATGTGCATAGGCCATATGTAAGAATGAGAAATGCATACAAAGTTTCGTTGAGAGAACCTGAAAGAATGAGACCACTTGGGAGACATTTGTCAGATGGATTTTAGAAATATAATTTTGTGGGTGTGGATGGTGTTTATTTGTGTCAGGATGCAAAGTCATAGTGGACTTATGTGAATACAATAAGTAACAGCCCTTAGGTACCATAAAGAGCAGTTATTTTCTGTACTTCCACGGGGACCATTAGTTTGTCAGGAAGGTCCCTGCGTTATGAAGTTAATACCCTCTAAGTTTATGAAGTCTGTAGAGAAGAAACCCATACAGAGCAGCCGTTGTGGGTTAGATGTAATGAGAAACAGCTACAGCAGGGAGAGCATACATTGTTTCATGTAAGGTGCTGTGCAACCATGACTGATAAAGGTATGATTTTACAGAACTATACAAATTCAGAGGATGTTGTACTGGGTCCATATGTTCAGATGTACCCAGCAAGTCATGGATCAAACCAGGCCTTGAATATAAAAGCTGAGGAAGACTCAGATCCGCAAGAGGAGGTGGATCCTGTCCCAATAACAGTTCAGGAAATAAAGGTTAAATGTGAGGTGAGCTGAATGTCTCTGTTTGTCTACTGTTAGGCAGATATCACAAATATACAGAAATGTCAGTTGTCTTTCTCGTCTCAATCTGGCTGTCTGTCTGTGCACATGAAATAACTCCACTGTGCTTAGAAGACTTCTTTCTGAAGTGTCTCTATACAGTTACAGTTCGTTGAATGTTGCTTGTGATATACCACTGCCATATGGAAACTTCATGTGGACTTATGGCACTGTTCACAGTTAGTTACTCTTACACTTACTAGAACCAAGAATTGTAATTGTAAGCTAAGTCCAGTGAACCCCACAAACTATCATGTGGAGAAGTTTCAAGGTTAAAATAGATTCTTCATTCTCTTGCTACAAGAGTGCCAAGAATTGCACTGCATAGAGCTGAAGAAACATTTCCTGCTAAGAGAAAAGTCATTGTGTTTCGTTCTTGTGTGCACAGACAAGAATTTTATTCTCATTTGTCAGTTCTCTTGGCCAAAGAAAGTAAGTATTTTGTGACACACTTCTCTCTTTTTCATAATCCATCTGGGTAGATTCTGACACTTCATGTACACATTGTAACAGTTTCTTATATTATGTAGGAGAGGGATCAGTTCAAGGAGAGTGATGTGCATAGGCCATATGTAAGAGTGAGAAATGCATACAAAGTTTCGTTGAGAGAACCTGAAAGAAAGAGACCGCTTGGGAGACATTTGTCAGATGGATTGTAGAAATGTAATTTTGTGGGTGTGGATGGTGTTTGTTTGTGTCAGGATGCAAAGTCATACTGGACTTATGTGAATACAATAAGTAACTAGCCCTTAGATACCATAAAGAGCAGTTATGTTCTGTACTTCCACAGGGACCATTAGTTTCTCAGGAAGGTCCCTACATTATGAAGTTAATACCCTCTAAGTTTATGAAGTCTGTAGAGAAGAAACCTGTACAGAGCAGCCGTTATGGGTTAGATGTAATGAGAAACAGCTACAGCAAGGAGAGCATACATTGTTTCACATAAGGTGCTGTGCAACCATGACTGATAAAGGTATGATTTTACAGAACACTACAAATTCAGAGGAAGTTGTACTGGGTCCGTATGTTAAGATGTACCCAGCAAGTCATGGATCAAACCAGGTCTTGAATATAAAAGCTGAGGAAGACTCAGATCCACAAGAGGAAGTGGAAGTTCAGGAAATAAAGGTTAAATGTGAGGTGAGCTGAATGTCTCTTGTTTGTATACTGTTAGGCAGATATCACAAATATGCAGAAATGTCGGTTGTCTTTCTCATTTCCATCTGTCTGGCTGTTTGTTTTATTTTGGGGGGTGATTATAAATTTTGTAAATTATTTTGCGCTTGAACGAACTGTTGATCCATCTATTTCAGTGTTTTTACTTGGCACAAATCTTTTCTGAAACTGGTTCTCTATATGTTCTATCACATGATGTACTTTCTTTTCTTGTTCGTTGCCTTGATTGCTTTCTTTGGTGGTATCATTTCCCCACACGCATCAACCAGAATATCTGAGAAATGGTCTCTGGACATTAAAGGTAGGCGTTCACTAGATCGCACCGTACGCATTGGACAGATCGGATCGGATGCTAAGTTACATGTAAGTAACGAAATCATGTGCGCTGTCGTTCACGTCATCGTATCGAATGCATCGTACTACGGCAAATCTGATTGGCATGGTCGAGAGGGCATAGAATCCGATGCGTGCAATGCGAGGGCATGAGTCACCTGGTAACCCCGTAGCAGTGGACAAGGTCTCTCGTATCTGCCCATCGTGTGACAGCTCTTGAAACACTGTACAGGGCGCAGCAGTCAGTTATTATCTGCAAGCAAGCATGGATGACGCCACTTTGATTTTGCTAGTGCAGAATTATGAAGAAATATACAATCTGTAACATCCAGACTACGGCTACCAGCAGCAAAGGGGCAACATTTGGGAGGAAATAGCGGGAATCATGAAGAGAACAGGTCAGTTTAATATAACGTATAGTTTTTATTTGAGCATTGTTAAACATTGTTTAATGTTTGACATAATTACTAGGCCTATATTTGTAGCAAAACACTAACTAAACAGTAACTAAAAAACTAAATAGTAGAGCTATCATGAACGGAGCATTCAACAGATTAATTCTGAATATTCCTTTTGCCAACTTGAATTCTTGCAGCTTGCCATTCTACAGCTCCTGCTTCAGAGTTGAAGTAGTTTGTAAATGCATCTCTTACATGTAATGCAGCCTGAGGTGGTGGTCCATCACGTCGTTTCAAGTTCCTTAGCCCTCGCATATCAGAAACAGTAACTTGTAAATCATTTTCGGACCAGTAACAAATATCATCTCTCAAATAATTATGTAGTATGCAGGCTGCAAGGATTACGCAGTTGGCATGCTCATGAGACAAGCTTAACCTATGCTCGAAAATTCTGAATTTCCTAACCAAAATACCGAAAGAGTTTACAGAAACATTTCTCGCCCGGCTTAACCTATAATTGAAAACCTTTCGTTTTTCATTTCCGTGAGCTTGATCTCTAGAGAATGGCCTCATTAAATATGTTCGTAATGGAAAGGCTTCATCCCCAACTATTACATGTGGTAGCGTAGTATTACTTCCAGGCAGTTGTTTCTCTGTAGGGATGTTTAAAGTATTGTTCTCTAGACCGGTTCCCAAGGCAGAGCGCTTAAAAATACTGCTATCTGAATTTGTGCCATAGGCTCCTACATCTATGAAAATAAATTTGTAGCTGGCATCTACCAGAGCTAACAATACTATACTAAACACTTTCTTGTAACAAAAGTACTGTGATCCACTATATGGAGGAGCTTGAATTAACACGTGTTTCCCGTCAGTGGCTCCGAGTAAGTTAAGAAAATTTCACTTCTTACAAAAATCGTCGGCCTATGTTTTGACCCACATATCTTCGTCAGGTTGTGGCATGAAGAGGGGTTGCAGCCGTCTCCAAATAGCGTCACATGTTGAATATATGATTTCTCGTACAGTTCGTTCTCCCAAGCGGAAGCTGAATGAGAGAGAATGAAACTAGTTTCCAGTGGCAAGATATCTGAAATGAGGAATATGTATACTTCTTAAGGCAGCATGAAAACAGTTACATGCAAAATTGTTGATAGTTGTGTGATATATGAATTCAATTTAAGAGTATATCGATGGTGTTCAGGTAAAAGGTTGTAACCCTCACATTAATTCGAAAGACATCGTATGAAAGTTCTCGCGAGACTAAATCGTGGGGAAAAAGGGCACAGTAAACAGTAAAATAAACAAAATATGTACATACCTAATGTAACACACATGTTACTGGATATTGTATTGTTTATCTTTCAGATAAGCAGTGTCGACAACGTTGGACACGGTTGCGTGATAAGCACCGTGAAGCCTTAAACTTGAGAAAAACCAGAAGTGGCCAGGCAGCGTCAAAGACGAAACCGCCTAAATACGAGAAGGAACTTTCTTTTTTGGCCCCATATCTTTTGGACGATGCCATTCGACAATTGAACTTTCCTTCTCCAGGAGGTGTTGATGATGGCTATGGAGACGGTGACGACAGAAACACTGAAGACGATGGAGAAGATAGAGTAACAGCAAATGACTCTAATTTGTCCACACAATCTTCAGCTCGTTCATCCTACACATCTCGATCAAAACGCAGTAAGAAATGCACATCATCTGAAGAGCCTTCTGCCGCTGCCATTCTGAAAGAATATCTAGATGCCAAAGACAACTGGCATTCCCAATCGTGAAGATGACACACTGACTAATTTTTTCTTGAATATGGTGGGCACTGTTAAATCATTTCCTACTAAAGATCAAGTGGAATTAAAAAGCAAAATATTTCAGTTGGTTAATTCAGTTGAAATGAGAATTGCGAATGAATTGGCTGCTCCTACTCAGTCAACTCCAATAAATTCAAACTCATTAAATGATGAATATCGTTTACAACCTGCCTTTGATGGGACAACTGTGCCCACAGATTACTATGGATACTACAATGAGCAGGCACGGCCGAATCAATAATCGTATCATGATCGTCGGGAATGAAATTAGATGAAAAGAAACTGGTAATAAAAGTGTTGTTATATAAATACATAATCAATGTGTTTGTATCCATAATTTGACACGTTTTCAATTAGTAATTAGATTTATACCGCTTTGTAGCCACTTGTGTGAAATAATAAAATAATTACTTTAGTATATTATTATTTTATAGAAGTATCTTACCTCAGACACAGAGAAAGTCTTTCCTTTGGTTCTATTGCATGTCTAAAATGAGTGTTTTTCTTCGTTAAACTCGGTGCAAGTAGATGTAAAAGATAATCGAATTTTTCATGACTCATTCGAAACTACTGGAAAAATTTTGCATCATCCTCCAGCAGATCTGAAAAGAGTGAGCTGAACTCTCCGAATACTAATCTTTTCATGTTGATATTGTGAACCCAATAACGCTTCCTTCTCCTTCTTCTCCTTTCTGCTTCTTTTCTTTTTTTCTCATCCTCTATTAGGATGCAAGTAACTACCGCAACTCCTGTCTCGCTATCCATCTCGAACTGAACAAGTACACCCGTACTGCGGTAATGAATGCACATGAACACTGCTGAGACTGGCACGGGCCGACCCGTCGGCTTGGCGATGCGGGCGAGTGAACACACTCACTTATTCCTACGATAGCTCCGATGCGTACGATGCGATCTAGTGAAGGCCTACCATAAGTCACCAAAAAATTGTATCTGTGGTTTCCTCTCACTAGACCAGTAGTCTTTTATGACAAGTAATGGAATTAGGCCCATATTTATAATTAGATCTAAAAGTGACTTCACCACAGGAACATACACATCAGACCACCTACTCCAAATGGACCATGAACTTAGCAGAAGTTCGGCAGTTTTGTGTCTCATGTACTGGTTTTGCCTCAGTAACAGTGTTATTCAGTAGTTCATCATTGAAAAATAAGTTAAAATAATCCATGGGATCTGCATCAGGCATAAGGTTAAATTGTGGCCCTGCATTTTTAGTGAATGTGTAGTCCTTGGGTTCCTTGTTGCCCATTGTCACACCTTCCCACTCGCCAACACTCAACAACACTTGTTTAACTCTCACTTTCACTTCCTGATATTTCGTTTCTCGATTCTTCACTAGCAGTTTCTTCTTCAAATTCCAAATTAATCTCATCATGAGAGTCAATATTCAGTTCATCATTTAAGATATCACTAATAGATTCTTCATTTGCGTCAGACAAGGGATTATATATCAGTTTCTTTTTCAATCCAAATTGTGGAGGTTCGGTCAAATGTGTGTGTACAAACACGTGACACACTGTAATATATAAATGGCATTCATTTCTTAAGAAGTTCAAATTATGACTTCCAGATGGCAGACAAAATATTCATGAATGCATTGGCACAGAATGCAGTGGCCACTAATGACATACAAGCGACATATGACTGGAGAAAGAACTTTGTCTATCATATATTGACATTCGTCCATGTAAGCCCTGCCACCATGTCCAGTTACGTATCGATATATGACTGGAAACTGTTGTTATACCTGACACTGTTGGAGTTCCATCTCTACTTGCCATCAGGTGACTGGTTGATGTGACAGATTTTTGTCATTTTCTATCAGAAAGGAGAATGACTAAAAATTAGATACAGAGAATGTGTGAGAGGTATATAAGTCAATAAATAGAAAAGAAAGGGCATTGGCAACACATCATAAAACATAGACATCATTATGGTCAAATGGAATATACAGTGGATGTAATGAAACACATAAAAAAGGGCTATTAATGAACATCAGCATTTTAGGTGAGTTCTTGTCACCACGGCATGCTGTGTCCTCCAGTTGCAGATGGAGGAGATGGCCTCCAGATGTGGAGGGTAGTTGTGAATATTTTGAATAAGAAGTTGCAGACAGCTGACAAGGGGTGGTCCTCCATGTTATGGGTTGGTTGTGTGGCTGACAACTCGCTGTAAAAAATCAGGTTGTTACAAAATGTCACAAAGGGCCTTGGACCTGGACAGATTCTTTGGTTAATGATCTAAGCTAAAGAAAATGGACCTGAGATTTGGGACATGGAATGTGAGAAATATGTATAGGGCAGGTTTACTCAGGACAGTGGCAGAAGATGTATCAAAATATAAGTTACATTTCGTGGGGGTACAGGAGGGTAGATGGACAGAGGTGGCACTGAACCAGAAGGTGAATATACATCATTCCGTGGAAAGAGGAATGATATTCATGTAGGTACAGATGTTTCATACATAAGAGAATCATATCAGCATTTAAGAGGATAGAGTTTGTTAGTGATAGATGTCATACGTACACATATTACTAGGGGATCGCTGATGAGATATCTACCTTCTGAATAGTCATACCCCAACAGAGGATAAAATTTGATATGAAGGTCAGCTTTTATAAAGAACTAGAACATATATTTGATAAATTCCCTAAATACCATATGAAAATTTTGTTAGGAGATTTCATTGCCAAAGTAGATGGGGAAGACATTTTCAAGCCAGCAGTTCGAAAAGAGAGTTTGCATGAAATTAACAGTGGTAATGGAGTTAGAGTGGTAAAATTTTCCACAGCCAAAAATCTGACTGCCAAAAGTATGATTGATGTTCTCACATCATAACATTCATAAATTTACTTGGAAATCTCCTGATGGAAAGAAGCACAACTAAATTGACTATATTTTGATAGACAGGAGACGGCATTCAAGTCTACTTCATGTTTTATCGTTTAGGACAGCAGAGTGTGATACTGACCACCATTTGGTGGTGGTGGAAGTTAGGGAGAGACTGGCAGTGAGTACACAAACAAAGCATATAGTTCATATTGAGAGGTTCAGTCTCAAGAAATTAAACGAGGTAGAGGGTAAAGAGCAGTACCATGTTGAGAGCTCAAATAGGTTCGCAGCTTTGGAAAACTTTAAGACGCTGAGATCGATATTAATAGAGCCTGTGATATTGTTATAGAGAATATAAAAATTTCAACAAAAAGAGTCTAAATTATTATGAACTGAAGAAGCATAAGTCATGGTTCAGTGAAGTAGGTCAAAGGAAACAGGCCAAATTGCAGTGGTTACAGGCTCCAAGCGAAATAAATATGTATAAGCTGAACAATATAAGACATAAAGTCAGCGGGCACTTCATGAATAGAAAGAGGGGTTATCTGAAAGAAAAAATTGATGAGCTTGCAACCAACAGTAAGAACAAGAACATTTTATAGATGTGTATAGAGGAAGAAATTAATTTAAAGGGCTTATCAACCTCTACGTAACTTGAATGTGAATGAATGAATGTATGTACAAGGGGTGGGCCTTCTTGGCCCTTGCACCGCGACCTACAGTGGTCTATTGTGCTTTATATGTAATTTAGTGAAGGATGAGAATGGTGACCTGCTTTCAGTCTCACAACATTTTGATTAGGTGGAAGAAATACTTCTCTCAGTTATTGAATGTACGTAGGGTCAGTGATGTTGGGCAGACAGAAATCCATACAGCTAAGCCGTTAGTACCTGATCCTAGCCCTTTTGAGGTTGAAAGTGCTATTACAAATTTGTAAAGGTATACAATTCTAGGAAGTGATCAGATTCTGGCAGAACTTATTCAGACTGGAGGTGAAATATTATGTTCTAAGATCCATAAGTTAATTCTGTTTGGAATAAGGAAAATTTTCCTGATCAGTGGAAGGAGTCTATTATTGTACCAGTTCACAAGTAGGGTAATAAAACTGAGTGTAGTAATTACTGTGAGATATCACTGCTATCAGCTGCATACAAAATTTTATCTAATAAATTCTCTCAAGGTAAAGGCCATATATAGATGAAGTTTTGAGGGATCCTCAGTGTGGATTTCTACATAACAGTTCAACAACTGATGAGAACTCTTGCATTTGTCAGATCTCACTCACTCACTCATCGAGTTGAGCCCTTCTTGAGAAGTTGCCAATTTTGCAGCTGCTCAAGAACTCTCAGTATTTATGGAATCAGAAGGGTCATTACTGTGCTCACAATAGCCCTCTGCTGTTCCCTATCCTAAGCCAGATCAGTCCAATCCATACCATCCTAACCTATCTGTCTAAGATCCATTTTAATATTGTTCACCCACCTGCATCTCGGTCTTCTCAGTGGTTTCCTTTCTTCCGGCATTCCCACCAATATCCTATATGCATTCGTCCTCTCCCGTTTGTGCTACATGCCCTGCTCATCTCATCCTCCTTGACTTGATCATTCTAATTTTGCTTGGAGAAGAGTACACATTATGAAGCTTCTCAGCATGTACTTTTCTACACCCTCAGCCTGTGTTCCTCCCTTAAAGGCAGAGACCAGGTTTCACACCCATACAGAACCACAGGCAAAATTATAGTTTTGTATATTCTAATTGTTATGTCAGACAGCAGATAGAAGACAGAAGGTTCTGAATTGGATGGTAGCAAGCATTACGGAAGTTCAGTCTCCTCTTAATTTCCTCCTGAATCAGGTTTTGATTGGTTATAGTTGTTCCAGAATATCTGAACTGTGCCACATTTTCAAAACATCTCATTCCTATCTTTATGTCATGATCTTGATGACTAGATAGCAACATATACTTAAGTCTTCTTTGTGTTTACTTGTAGACCAACCTCCTTAGTACTGTCAGAGTGTCTGTGCTTTATGATATCTATATTATCACTCTGTAGGTTTTGTATGGATGTAAAACGTGGTCACTGACATTAAGGGAGGAACATGGAGGGTGTTTGAGAGCAGGATGCTGAGGAGGATAGAGTTAGAGATAGGATAGAGATAGGAGGTTAGAGGAACTTCACAACTCCTACTCTTCGCCATATATGTATGAGTGATCAAGTCAAGGAGGATGTGATGGGCGGGACATGTAGCATGAGGGCAGAGAGGAACGCATGTAGGATATTGGTGGGAAAGCCAGAAGGAAGGAGACCACCAGGAAGACTAAGATGTAGATGGGTGGACAGTAGTAAAAATAGATCTTAGACTAATAAGATGGGGTGGTGTTGACTGGATCGATCTGGCTCAGGATAGGGACCAGAGGAAGGCTCTTATGAATACATAAATGAACCTTCGGGTTCCATGAAATTCTGGAGGGTTTTTGAGTAGTTGGGCAGTTGGCAGCTTCTCTAGAAGGGCTCAGCTTCACATGAAGTTAGTTACATATTAATGAACATCCAAGGAAATTTCTGCCTATACAGAGTGGGGCGCAGAAACTTCCTTTTTGTGCAGACGCATTGTGAAGGGAGGGGAGGTCGCAGAAAAGTGGGGATAGGCTCGGCGAACGCAACAGTCGCGGAAGTTTCTGTCTAATACCCCTCAGTAGGAAACATGAGGTGTACAAGTGAGCAGCGTGCATTTGCTGTCGAAGCCTATTTTTCGAACAACCATTCCTACATGGTGGTGGAGCGTGCATTCCGTACTCACTTCGAAATTAAGCCCAGAGGTCCGGTTCCTGACTGGTAATCGATTTATGGGTAGAGAACTTTAGGACAACCGGGAGTGTAGTGAAAAAATCATCAGGATGACAGTGGACCATTACGACACCAGTTCGACAGTCGATTTTGAAATCTGTTTTGAACCAGCTCTTGAAGAAATGCATCTAGGAAATGCCTGGTTCCAACAGGATGGTGCCACGGCCCACACAGCCCAATCTTCCATGACAGTTTTCAGGGCAAAGTTCCCCGGACGGCTCATCTCGCTTCGAGGTGACATCCCATGGGCAGCGCACTCACCTGATCTAACGCCCTGTGATTTTTTTTATGTGGATACCTCAAGGCAGAGGTATTTAAACATCACCACACAAACCTGCTTCAGCTGAAGAATGCTGTTAGGCAGGAAGTA